CCCCACCACCCGGGGCTGCCGCCCGAGGCCCACCTGAAGCCCGAGCACCACTACGCCTTCAACCACCCCTTCTCCATCAACAACCTCATGTCCTCGGAGCAGCAGCACCATCACAGCCACCACCACCACCAGCCCCACAAAATGGACCTCAAGGCCTATGAACAGGTGATGCACTACCCGGGCTATGGTTCCCCCATGCCGGGAAGCCTGGCCATGGGCCCAATCACGAACAAAGCGGGCCTGGAAGCCTCGCCCCTGGCCGCGGACACCTCCTACTACCAGGGGGTGTACTCCCGGCCCATTATGAACTCCTCTTAAGAGTGCTGTGGCCCGGCTAGCCCAGACAAGAGAGAGGAAGTGGGGGGCAGGGGGGGGAGAGACTTTGAGGTAGGGGTGTTGGAGAGATGCAAGGGAGAAGACATCCAAGACACTCCCACCCCCAGGACAGCAGTCTCCCCTCACCCTCTGCAGCTCTTCCCTCCCAGATGGGCCACACTGATATGTATCATTCATTCTATATAAGGAGGGAAAGGGGACAAAAAGATAAAGTCAAAAAAGACAGAAGGAAAAAAGCCCCCCGGTTTCCACTACTATGTAGATGCCTGCTTCTGGAAGCATCCTAGAATTCTGACTTTTGTTATCACTCTCCTCCATTGCTGCTGTTGCAGGGAAGTCTTACTTTATTTAAAAAACAAACAAACAAACCCACACAAAAAACCCTCTATAAAAAAACAAAACAAAAAAAATCCCACAAACTTTTTGTGACTCAGTGTAAAACAATGTAGTTTTAACAAAGAACCAGAGAGTTGTGCTATTGTTTAAAAAAGAGATAAAAAAAATGATGTAAGGGTCTGTTGTTAATGACCAAGGGGGGGGAAATGCATTCCTGTTCTTGAAACAGTGAAATCCAGGTCTCGGGTCTGATTAATTTATGCTTTCTGAGTGCTTTATTTATGGCTTATAAATATGTGTTCTGGCTGCAAGGACCAGAGTCTCACAAATCTATATTAAAGTGTTATTGCCGGTTTTATTTCTTGAATCATCAAGATTTTTTTTCTTTGCCTGGCTTAACAAATAATCAAGTCTGGAAACTGTTTCAAAGTGGAGGGAGGGAGAGCCTGGCTGATTGCAGATTTTATTTTATTGGAGGAGGGGTTGTTGCTTTACCAACATTTTATTACAATTTTCAGACATACTGAATTTGAATGGATTTTACAGAAAGTACACATGTACCCATTGCCCAGGTTTTACAATTATTTCACGGTTCTTGTTATATTGCATATCTGTCCACCTATCTAAATGCCATTGGTCAATTTGGCTTATATTTTAAGGGCATTTCAAAGTAAATTTCAGACATTAGTGCATTTCCCCCTAAACACTTCAACAAGCACACCATTAAATAGAACACAATATTGTTTATGGTCACTTTTGGAGTTTTTAGTTTATCTTTACACACCCATGAAACACAGATCCCAGGTCAACCTTTCCATGGGTTGGATGCAGGTTTATCTTTCAAGCCCGGAGCAACCTACATGTCTTGATTTTTCCACCTGAGCCATGTGAAGGTTCAGTGTTGCTGACATCCCTTGGGCTCTAGTGCAGGCTTCTCTGGGAGGAAGCCTGGATTTGACATGCTTTGCTGTATTTCCTATATTAGCTCCCTCGACCCTTTAAGTAAGGGAGCCCAGGTTGAATTTGCAAATTCCTGGTGCAGTACTTGCCCTTTCCATCGTTGCATCTCTGTGGCATCGGAACTTTACCTTCCAGTGGAATCAGAACTCTGTCTGCATTCCACCACCCTACCCCAGCCTCCTCCTTCACTTAGGTGTTCTGCACAACTTTGGTAGACCTAGCTGAAGCCCGGGACTAGTGAGGGGTCTGGAGACACAGACGACTTTCTCCTGGAATTGGTTATGAAGGGAATGCTCGGTGTGATGTTCCAAACCTCCTTTTAAAAATAAGGTATATTTGGCCCTGGCTCAGTTGGTTGGAGCATCCAGGACATCCAAAAGGTTGCAGGTTCCATTCCCAGTCAGGGCACATACCTAGGTTGAGGATTCAATCACTCGTCAGGGTGTGAATAGAAAGTAACTGATGGATGTTTCTCTTTCACACTGATGTTTCTCTCCTCTCTAAAATCAATAAAAACATAACCTGGGTGCGGGTTTTAAAAAAATAAAATCAGGTATATTTAGAGTGACGCGGGGATATGGGGGTGTCTTGCGGGGCTTGCCAAGTGACAGTGGCCGGTGGAGAGATCCGAGTCTACAAGGCCTTCCTCCCAAGACCCCAGCACAGCATACAGTTAGCCGGGTTTGGCAAGCCAAGATTGCCCGGCGGAGGGGCTGAGGGTTTTTTGTGAGCCTAAAAGGAAAAAATCCAAACTTATAAAGAAATACCCAGAATAAATTCTTACAATCCTGCTATCTCTCCCCACAGACACCCTAAATCAGTGGCCAATCACAGTGGGTACCCTGGCGGTGAAGCACAAAGCCGCCCCCACCCCCACTTGGCTTTGCCCAGGGCATCTACTGGCCTGCAAGCTGGGCCGGGGAGGTCGGGAGCCAGTGTCTTTGAGGGCCCCTCAGACTGGGGGCCAGCCGGAGCACAGCTTAGCCAGCTGTGGGTAAGAAACACAGGTTTCCAAGTCCAGGACTCTTTCTTTGGGTTTCTAAAGCCCTAGATCCTTTTTCCGGGACTAATCTTAGGGCTTCCTGACCAGCCAAACCTGGAGTGTCCCAGCTTCGTCCCAACCTTAGAAACCGCCTCTCCTTGCACCCTCTGCCACCTAGAGAGGTCTCTGTCACCTCCAACCCTGGCCTTCCCACGCGCTGAGGGGGTTTGCCCCAGCCTCCTCCACCCTCTCCCGCCTCTAAATCCTAGTTTTTAACGTGCCTTATTGTCCCGAGCAGCACCGGGAAGAGCAACTGGGGCGGGGTAGCAGTGGTATCCGGAGGCAGAATCCAGTTATCAGGGCTGTCTCTCCCCCTGGCTAGGACACACACGTCGCGAGCCCGGCCTGAAATGTGTTTCATTATCACATAAAAGGCTCCTGTGGCGAAGGAGCGGAGAGGCCGAGCGGGAGGCCGAGTGGGGGACAATGGAGGCTGAAAGCGCTGCCCTAACCTGCTATGTTTCGTATCGCACGCCCATTGTGCGAGGGTCGTTTTAAACTACTTAGAGCGCACCCTCCCTCCCCCCCCCTCCCCTCCACTGATCCCGGCTGATGAGATAGAGTTCTGTCCGAATACATAAAAAGGACTTCGGGGAGTGGGCGCTTTCGGGGGTTTCAGCGCTTCTCCTTCCTTTCACACCCCACCCTCGGGCCACCACCTCCTTCCCCCGGGCCAGGTTCCCAGCTCACTAGCTCACGGCTCGCCCTCCGCCTGCCTTCCCCCAACTCTAAATATTGCAGGGTGCAGCGATTCTTTTTTCCTCCCCCCTCCTC